TTAGAATCAGGTATGTTATAGTTGTGATTATCAGACAGATTTTTAAATAGCCACAATTAATATGTTAAGGATTCTAATGGAAAAAGTTGACAACATCCAAAAATAAGTGAATAATGTAAGTAGAGAGATGGGAACTCTAAGAAAGAATCAAAAGGAAATGCCATAAATAAAAAACACCAACAGAAATGAAGAATGCATTTAATTGGATCATCAGTAGAGTCAATACAGGTGAGGACAGAGTCAATAAGCTTCAGGGTAGGTCAACAGAAATTTTCTAAACTGAAATGCAACAAGAAAAAGGGAGAAGAAAAAAACCCAAACAGAACATTCAGAATCTGTGGGAAATTTTCAAAAGGATTACATATGTATGATTGGAATACTAGAAGGAGGAGAAAGAGAACAGAGCAGAAAAATATTTGAAGTAATAATGGGCAAGAATTTTCCAGAATTAATGATAAGAGAACATTACAGATCCAGAAATCTCCGAGAATACCAATAAGGATAAAAACCAAACACCAACCAACCAAACAGACACACATACACACACAAACACAAACTACATCTAGGAATATTATGTTCAAGCTACATAAATCCAAACACACAGAGGAAATATTGAAAAAAAAACCAAAGGTGGGGGAAAGGGACATTACTTATATAAGATGAAATAAAAATTACAGCAGAGTTTCCTGCAGAAGCTATGCAAGCAAAGCCACCTGGCTGGCTCAGACAGTAGAGTATATGACTCTTGATCTCAAGGTCATGAGTTTGAGCCCCACATTGGGCCTAGAGATTACAGAAGCTATGCAAGCAAGAAGACAGTATAGTAAAATATTTAAAGTGTTAGAAGAAAAAAACTCATTAACTTCTAACTATAGGCTAGAATTCTATATCAAGTAAAACTGCCCTTCAATAATAATAACTAAAAGAATTGATTGCCATTATTCCTGCACTGTAAGAAATGTTAAAATAATTCTTCAGGTTCATGTAAAATTATATTGATAAGAAATTCGTGACCTATATCACAATAAATATAATGCTAGAGAAGGAATAAATAAAAACCTTTTCTTTTCCTTATTCTTAGTTAACCTTAAAAATAGCTTACTTAAGGTACAATTAATAATAATGTATTGATTGACTAAAGCATGTGGATAATAAGTGAGATGAATTTCAGCAATCTCATGAGGAATGAAAGGATTTGGAAATTATGTGTTATAAGGTAACTGTATTACACATGAAGTGGTATAGTGTTATTTAAATATGGAGTTGGGGGAAGGCAAAAATCAATCAATCAATCAATAAATGAGTTAGAGTAATTAAAAATGTATATTGGAAACACTAGAGAAACTACTAAATTTGTTAAATATTTTATTTTATTTTGTTATGTTAGTCACCATACAATACATCATTAATTTTTGATGTAGTGATCCACGATTCATTGTTTTTGTGTAACACCCAGTGCTCCATGCAGTACTTAATACCCATCACCAGGTAACCCATTCCCCCACCCCCCTCCCCTCTAAAATCCTCAGTTTGTTTTTCAGAGTCCATAGTCTTTCATGGTTTGTCTCCCCCTCCAATTCCCCCCCCTTCATTTTTCCTTTCTTTCTCCTAATGTCCTCCATGCTATTCCTTATGTTCCACAAATAAGTGAAATCATATGATAATTGACTTTGTCTGCTTGACTTATTTCACTTAGCATAATCTCCTCCAGTCCCATCCATGTTGATGTAAAAGTTGGGTATTCGTCCTTTCTGATGGCTGAGTAATATTCCATTGTATATATGGACCACATCTTCTTTATCCATTCATCTGTTGAAGGGCATGTCAGCTCTTTCCACAGTTTGGCTATTGTGGACATTGCTGCTATGAACCTTTGGGTGCATATGGCCCTTCTTTTCACTACATCTGTGTCTTTGGGGTAAATACCCAGGAGTGCAATTGCTGGGTTATAGGCTAGCTCTGTTTTTAATTCTTTGAGGAACCTTCACACTGTTTTCCAAAGTGGCTGTACCAACTTGCATTCCCACCAACAGTGTAAGAGGGTTCCCCTTTCTCCACAACCTCTCCAACATTTGTTGTTCCTTGCCTTGTCAATTTTTGCCATTCTAACTGGTGCAAGGTGGTTTCTCAATGTTTTGATTTGAATTTCCCTGATGGCTAATGATGATGAACATTTTTTTTATGTGTCTGATAGCCATTTGTATGTCTTCCTTTGATAAGTGTCTTTTCATGTCTTCTGCCCATTTTTTGACTTGATTATTTGTTTTTTGGGTGTTGAGTTTGAGAAGTTCTTTATAGATCTTGGAAATCAGAACTTTGTTTGTAGTGTCATTTGCAAATATCTTCTCCCATTCTGTGGGTTGCCTCTTTGTTTTGTTGACTGTTTCCTTTGCTGTGCAGAAGCTTTTTAACTTGATGAAGTTCCAAAAGTTCATTTTTGCTTTTGTTTCACTAGCCTTTGGAGATGTATCTTGAAAGAAGTTGCTGTGGCCGATGTTGAAGAGGTTACTGCCTATGTTCTCCTCTAGGATTTTGATGGATTCCTGTCTCACATTGAGGTCTTTTATCCATTTTGAGTTTATCTTTGTGTATGGTGTTAGAGAATGGTCGAGTTTCATTCTTCTGCATGTGGCTGTCCAATTTTTCCAGCACCATTTATTGAAGAGACAGTCTTTTTTCCATTGCATATTTTTTCCTGCTCTGTCGAAGATTATTTGACCATAGAGTTGAGGGTCCATATCTGGGCTCTCTATTCTGTTCCATTGGTGTATATGTCTGTTTTTGTGCCAGTACCATGCTGTCTTGGTGATCGTTGCTTTGTAATATAGCTTGAAATCTGGCAACGTGATGCCCCCCAGCTTTGTTTTTCTTTTTCAACATTTCCTTGGCAATTAGGGGTCTTTTCTGATTCCATACAAATTTTGGGATTGAGAAACTACTAAATTTTTTTTTAAAAAGAGATAAAAGGAAATCATAAAGTGCTCAATTAAAATGAAAAAAAAAAGAAAGTGAAGGAAAAGATATAAATAAACAAATACCATAAATACAAACCAGGTACAAATATGGTAGATAGCAATCTAACTATGTCAATATCACTTTAAATATGAGCAGTATAAATACATCAATTAAAAGACAGAATGTCAAAATAGATAAAATAAGACAAAACTATGTTTTGTCTACAAGAAATTCAGTTTAACTCTTTTCCTCCCCGGCTGCTTGAAGCTTGGCCGCCATCATGAATGACACAGTAACTATCTGGACCAGGAAGTTCATGACTAACTGACTACTTCAGCAGGAACAGATGGTCATTGATGTTCTTCACCCCAGAAAGGCAACAGTACCTAAGACAGAAATTCGGGAAAAACTAGTCAAAATGTACAAGACCACACCAGATGTCATATTTGTGTTTGGATTCAGAACCCATTTTGGTGGTGGCAAGACAACTGGCTTTGGCATGATTTATGATTCCTTGGATTATGCAAAGAAAAATGAACCCAAACACAGACTTGCAAGACATGGCCTGTATGAGAAGAAAAAGACATCAAGAAAATAGTGAAAGGAATGCAAGAACAGAATGAAGGAAGTCAGGGGGACTGCAAAAACCAATGTTGGTGCTGGCAAAAAGAAGTGAGCTGGAGATTGGACAACAGAAGGAGTAAAGATGCTGCAGTGGCTTTATCTGTGGTGGTTGTGCAGATTTTTCATGAGAGGATCAATAACCTAAGAATGTTAATGTGAAAAAAAATTCAGTTTAATTATAAGTACTTAGATAGGATATTAGTAAAGGGATGGAGAAAGATGATATTACCACTAATCAAAAGAAAGCTGGAGTAACTATATTAATTCAAACAAAACAGATTTCAGAATAAGAAAAATTGTTGGGTAAAAGAAGGGTGTCACATAATAATAAAAGGTCAGTTGTCTAAGAAGAAATAATAATCTTAAATGTGTATGCATCTGACTGCATAGTGCCAAAATTATGAGGCAAAGGTTGAGGGAAGTGAAAGGAGAAAGTCACAAATTCACTATCGTGGTTGGAGATACCAATACTTCTTTTTCAGTAACTGACAGATCAAGCAGACAGAAAATCATTAAGAATATAGTTGAACTGATCAGCACTATCAGTCAACTTGATCTAATTGACATTTATAGAATACTCCTTCACAAAACAGAATACACTTTTATCTCAAACTCACATGGAACATTAACCAAGATAGAACACATTCTTGCCCATGAAACACAACTAAAATTTAAAAGAATAGAAATCATAAAAAATATGTTCTCAAACCAACTGGAATTAAACGAGAAATCAACACCAGAAAGGTAGCTCGGACAATCCCCAAAGATATTTGGACATCCCCAGAGTTATGGAAATGAAACAATGCAATTCCAAATAATTATTGAGCCAAATAAGAAATCTTAAGGGAAATTAAAAAAAAACAAAAACCAAAACTAAAATCTCAACAGAAGTTCAACCAAAAAAAAAAAAAAGATAAAATCAAGAATGAAAACTTTCTAAGAGTGAAAAGTCCAGGACCAGGTGACTTCAATGGTGAACTTTACCAAACATTTAAAGAAGAATTAACACCAATCCTTCTCAAATTCTTCCAGAAAAAATTGAAGAGGTGGGAATACTTTCAACTCATTCTATGAGGCCAGCGTAACCATGTCAAAGCCAGATAAAAACATTAGAAGAATATAATAGGCGAATATCCCTTGTGAATATAGATGCAAAAAGTCTCAACAAAATACTAACACATCAGACCCAATAGCATAATAAAAGGATGATGCACTACAACCAACTGGGATTTATCCTAGTAATGCAAAAATGGTTCAAAATAATAAAATCAATCAATTTAATATACCACATTAATAGGATAAAGGAAAATAAGTACATGATTATCTCAATTGACAAAAAATAAAAGGCACTTTACAAATCCAACACCTTTCATAATAAAACAAGCTCAGGCCCCCTCCCCCCACTGCACCCCTCACCTTTCCCTCCTTTCCTTTATTCCTGGCCCCACCTGCCAAAATGAACAGCTCAGACGGGGAGAAGCAGCTGCAGCTCATCACCAGTCTGAAGGAGCAAGCCATAGGCGAATATGAAGACCTCAGAGCAGACAACCAGAAAACAAAGGAGAAGTGTGACAAAATTAGGCAAGAACGAGATGAAGCTGTTAAAAAACTGGAGGAATTTCAGAAAATTTCTCACATGGTTATAGAAGAAGTCAATTTTATGCAGAACCATCTTGAAATAGAGAAGACTTGTCAAGAGAGTGCTGAAGCTCTGGCGACAAAGCTAAATAAAGAAAATAAAACATTGAAAAGAATCAGCATGTTGTACAGGGCCAAGCTGGGACCAGATGTAATCACCGAGGAGATCAACATCGATGACGAAGATGTTAGCACAGACCCAGAAGGCACCGCAGAGACCTGTGTCTCTGTGCAGTGTCAGAAGCAGATCAAAGGTGGGACTCTTGGCTTCGCCACTGAGCATATTTTGGATAATGTTTCTCAGCCCTGGTTGCCCATTGGAATCACCTGAGAACTTTAGAACTTGGGCCCTGCTTCAAAAAATTTCGGATTTAAATGTCCCAAGGAGTAACCTGGTTGAGAATCACGATAGGACGTAATGTTGGTGCGTTATGAATTACTTTCTCATTTGGGATTAGGCACTTTTGAAAGCACTGTCTTGATGGAAACAACCAGTGTGTAAAAATTCTTAAATATATGGACTATGCATTGAGATATTTTTGTTAAGCAAAAGAAAGAATGTATAAAAATATATTTAGCCAATGCCTAAAAAAAAATAAATAAAACAAGCTCAGAAAACTAGGAATAGAAAGAAACTTCCTCAACATAATAAAAACTCACAGATGACATCAGTCGTGAAAGACTGAAAACTTTGCCTGATCAGGAACAAGACAAAGATGCCCACTTTCCCAAAGCCATTCAACACTGTACTGGAAGTCGTAGCCAGAGCAGTTAGACAAGTTAAAAAAAATAAAGAACATCAAAATTGGAAAGAAAGAAGTAAAACTATCTCTGTATCAGCTAACGTGATCCTCTATATATAAAGTCCCAAATAATCTACAAAAAAAGCTACTAGAGATCATAAATGAATTCAGCAAAGTTGTAGGGTATAATATCAACATAAAAAATCACTTGTACTTCTGTACACCTGCAAAGAATGAGCTGAAAAGAGAATTAAGAAAGAAATTCTATTTGTAGTAGTATGTAAAAATAAACTGTTAGGAATAATTTGATGAAGGAGATGAAGATTTATACACTGAAAACTACAACATATTTCTGAAATAAACTGAAGAAGTCCTATATTCATGGGTAGGAAGATTTAATCTTGTTAAGATATCAGTGTTACCCAAACCTATCTATGGATTCATTGCAATTTCTATCAAAATTCCAACAGCCTTTTTGAAGAAATGGAAAAACCAATCCTCAAGATTTTATGGAATTCCACTGAACACCAAACAGCCAAAACAGTCTTGAAAAAGAAGAACAAATTTGTTGGATCCCTACTTCCCAATTTCAAAAGTTACTACAAAGCTACTATAATCAAAACAGTGTGGTATTGGCATAGATGTACGTGTTGACCAATGGAATAAAATTGCAAACCTAGAAATAAACCTGTGTGTCTATGGTCATTTAATTTTTGACAAGGGTGCCAGTTCTTTTCAATGTGGGAAGAACAGTATCTTCAAAAAATAGGCCTGGGACTACTGAATTTCCCCATGCAAAAGAACAAATTTGGACCCCTGCTTCATGCTACATACAAAAATTAACTCAAATTGGGCAATGACCTAAATGTTAGAGCTAAAATCATAAAAATCTTAGAAGAAAACATAAGGGAAAATCTTAATAACTTTGAATTTGACAATGGATTCTTAATTATGACATCAAAATATAGGCAACAACAACAAGATAAATTGGGCTTCGTTAAAATTGAAAACATTTGTGCATCAAAGGACATTATTAAGAAAATGAAAAGACAACCTACAGAATGGGAGAAAATATTTACAAATTGTATATTGTAACGTCCAGATTGTACAAGGAACTTCTGTGACTGAACAACAAAAAGACATATTAAAAAAATTGGTAGAGGAATTGAATAGATGTTTCTCCAAAGAAGATACACAAAGGACCAATAAGAACATGAAAATATGTTCAACATCATCAATCATTAGGGGAATGAAAATCAAAATCACAGTGAGATAACACTTTATGCCCATAAGATTGGTAAAAATAATAATAATAATGAAAATAATGACTGTTGGTGAGGATGTAGAGAAATTGGCACCTCATACATTACTGGTGGGAATGTCCAATGGTGCAATTGCTATAGGAAGCAGTTTGCTGGCTCCTCAAAAAGCTAAAAATAGAATAACTACATGAGTCAGCAATTTCTAGTCATATACCCAATAAAAAAGAAAACAGGAACTCAGATACTTATATATCGATGTTCACTGCAGCATTATTAACAATAGCCAAAAAGTAGAAACAAGGAAATGTCCATCAACAGATGAATGGATGAACAAAATATGATACGTACAATGGAATATTTTTTAGCCAAAGAAAGGAATGAAGTTCTGATACATGCTACACCATGGATGAACCTTGAAAACATTATGTTAAGTGAAATAAGCCAGACACAAAAGGAAAAATATTATATGATTCCACTCATGTGAAATTGAATAGAATAGGCAAATTTGTAGAGACAAAAACTATATTAGATGTTACCAGGGGCTGAAGGAAACAGAAGATGAAATGTTAATGCTTAGTGGTTATAGAGTTTCTGTGTATTGATGAAACAGTTTGGGAAGTAGATGGTGGTGATAGTTGCACAACATTGTGAATATAATTAATATGACTGAATTGTACACTTAAGGGTGATTAAAATGGCGTATTTTGCAGTATGTAAGTTTTCCACCATAAAAAAGATTTAGTGACCAAAAATATTGAGCAGACATTTCACCAAAGAAGATATAAGAATGGCCACTAGGCACATGAACAGATGTTCAACATCATTAGTCAGCAGATAAACATAAAATAAAACAATAATTTGAAATCATATCACACCAACTAGGAGGCTAAAAACCAGTCTGACAACACCAAATGACAGGGATATGGAGCTACTGAAACTTCCATCCATTGTTGGTGGGAGTGCGGAAGAGGTACAACCACTTTGGAGGATGTTTTCCGGTTTCTTACAACATTAATGATATATCTGTCCTACAGTTTAGCAATTCCACTCCAATAAATATATTTAAGAGAAAGGAAAGCTTGTCTCTACAATATGACTTTTGCAGGAATATTTTCTATGGCTTTATAATAGTCAAAAATAGTCAAAACCTGGAAACAATTTAAATGTCCATCAAGAAGAGGATAAACTTATGTTCATTGCATACTACTACTCATCAATTAAAAGAACCAACTACTGATACACACAAATATGGTTAGATCTCATAGACATTGTTCTGAGTTTAAAAAGCTAGAGACAACGGTATACATTATACGATCCCAAATATGTAGGGTTCTAGAAAAGGTAAAGCAAACCTTTGTTTAGTCAGAAAGTAATTCCTTTTGGGAGAGATTTGGCTACAAAGGATTGTTAGAAAACTTACTGGAATCATGGAGATATTCTGTATCTTCTCTTGGTGATCACATGGATGCCTTTGATTATTAAAACTTATTAAATAGGGGAAGTTAGGTTGTATTATGAGTAAATCATATCACAATAAAAAATAAAAAATGAAAAATAAAATTAGACTTGTGAATTTGTATGTAAACTTTAATAACAGAATGTGATTTACTTTTAATTTTTTGAAGATGCTCAGGAACATGGTTGCAAGTATTAGCATCATAGATTATTATTGCTTGTTGCAAGTAGACTGTATGTAAATTATATTTTTACCAGCAGTTTCATCATATTCAGTTTTGATTTTTTTTAATTAATGTGAAAACCATCAGAAAGTCTTTCCTCTCATATAACACTATTCCTCATTTATATATGCCAATGAAGTGCAGATTATTGTTTTAAATTCTTCTTGATATTTCTTATAGTATGTAGGAAAGATCATGGTAAGAAAAGGAAAAGGTGAGGAAAATATTCATTTATCTTTCTTATAAAATCTGTGTTGGGTCGTTGCCTCTATGGTGATGAGGTTTAGTTGCCAAGGAGAAAGGATTCAGAGTTGGCGTTATGTGCTCTGATATACTGCTGATTTGTTGGGTAATGAAGCAAGTGAGACAACCTCTTATCCAAGATCATTACCTTCAACTTCCTTGGAAATGAAACTAGATATTCTCCAAGAGTCACCACTCTAGCTCACAAAACCTAAAGGATTTATTTAGGAGTACTTTTACTTCTGCCCCAGGATTGGGTAATCAATTTTTTGCAGATAATTATTGATGCCCATGTGTCTAAACCTTTATCAGACACTATAAGCTGCTGAAAGTCTATAAGCAATTTTTATGCTAGATCCCAGTGCTCAGGAAATTACAATCTAGCCTGGCATGGACATGTGATGTGAGGCGGTAAGCAAGATGAAGTGGGGAAGCAAGATATACAAATACTAAGCAATTAAAAGACAAGGCACAACCACATTTAATTAAATGAAACGTTATCTAGATAGTAAAGGGCTATGGGTGATGTGGAAGAGGAGAGAGAGATCATTGGGAGTTACAAATAAAATGTTTTCTCCCTTAATAAGAACAATGTTTTGGTGTTGGGGGTGGGGTGGAGGGGATACCATAGTATTCTTGCATATACCCAATCTATTAAAAAACTGAATCCCTGGGCCTGCATCATTTTTACCTAGTGGATTTTTTTAAACTGATTTCTTTCTTTCTTTTTTTTTTTTTTTAAGATTCTATTTATTCATTTGAGAGAGAGAGAAGGAGAGAGAGTGAGAGAGTACAAGCAGGGAGGAGAGGGAGAAGCAGGCTCCCTGCAGAGCAAGGAGCCTGATGTGGGGCTCAATCCCAGGACTCTGAGATCATGACTCGAGCCGAAGGCAGACACTTAACCAACTGAGCCACCCAGGTGCCCCTAAACTGATTTCTTATGATGGTTTTGTTCTCAGTAAGTGAGGAAGTCACTTAGGTTAATGAGTTACTTAAGATGAGAGACTGTGGACTCTGAGAAACAAACTGAGGGTTCTAGAGGGGAGGGGGGTGGGAGGATGGGTTAGCCTGCTGATGGGTATTAGAGGGCACGTACTGCATGGAGCACAGGGTGTTATACGCAAACAATCAATCATGGAACACTACATCAAAAACAAATGATGTATGGTGACTAACATAACACAATAAAATAAAATTAAAAAAAAAAGATTACAAAACTCATAAGGGTAAAATGGGATTTTAATATAGGTCTGCTGGTTGCAAAATTTTAACAAATTATATGCTATCCTTGGAACCCTCTGAACTCAAATGTCTGAGGCCTATGATATTTAGGACTCCCAGTGATAATCCAAAAATAGTACCAAGAAACTTCAAGGGACATATGATTATCAGGAGCCCTGCAAGGACACAAGGCTAATATGCTGCTGATTTTGTGGGAAGCCTATGGCTATGCTGGTTTTA